AAATAACCGTATTTTTATGAGGGAGTTATTTTCTGTTATTTTATGGTAGTATTTTGGCTCCCCAGCTGCTGGACTATTACCGTTTTTTTAAGATGTTTTTTTTAACAGTGTACAAAGAAAACCCTAAAGCAAACACACAAAGCATTTTATCATCTTATTAGCTGAACGTTTTCCTAAATTTCTGCCAACCAGCTTTACAGTTGTGTCTCACGTTCACTGCTCAATAGCTTTTTAGCGATTTTTCAGGCATACTGTACAACAGATGTTTGCCAGATATCAGGTAAGCAGGGTGTAGAGGTAAGAGCAAAAGAGCTACTTCATACTTATTTTCCAGCATCGACACCTTCACCAAGTGCTCTGGAACTAAAAAAATAAGTATATGAGAGCACAAATGACACCTACTTCCCTTTGCAAAATGTATGACAAGTCTGATAGGCCAGGTCTTTTACCTGTAAATGTCCTGTGTGACTTGGTAGTCAGCCCAACTCAATCAGACAGGGGCCGATGACTTCACACCATCCCTGCCAGGGATTCTGATTCAACGCCGACTGCGATGGGTTGGCAGCAGCCGATGCAGACGTATCTGAGGATCCAGAGATAGACGCCGCCAAACACGACGACGGTCAGGCCCAGCAGCAGGAAGCTGATGTAGGATTGGGGACTGACGCTGAACAGCACAGGAGGGTGGGGGGTGTTGATGGAGTCATCACTGATTTTCTGGGCTGGATAAACCCGCAGGAGAGATGAGAAAATAGAGAGAAACTAGTCACGGAAAAGATGATTTCTGTGGAGTGAAACAAGGAACAGTGTCTCACAATGATGCCAAAACAATGATGTCAACAGGACTAAGAGTCCACAGTAGGGCTGGTAATCTGAAAGACAACCAATCACCAATTAACCTACCCCACTTACTGCATGAAAGCACTGTGGGAGGAAACCACAGCACCCGGAGAGAACAAACTGCAAACAAACTCCACACAGAGTGGAACCCAGGACCTTCTTGCTGTGAGCCAACAGTGGTAACCTCCCATAATTTTGCACTATACAAATAAAATTAAACTGAATGGGTCAGATGCTGATAGCCAGACTGATAAACCATGAGTTAGCTTAAAGTTGATAACCAGCTTTGTGTGACCGCTCATCCTTATTCCAGATGTTAGGCTAAGTGAGTCCTGATAACGGAAAGGTAACCTGGGTGTGTTGAAGTCATTTTGTGGGTCCTGAAAACGATGCCATGTGATCATGAAAGCTAATAAAATCATACTGAGTGGAACATGAATGCTTTTATCAAAGCTCACGGCCACCTATAGAGACCAGCCATTGTAGCACTGACTGTCAGAGCTTCAGGAAGCAGTCGACACATCTATTAAAATTTTTCACCAATTTATCCTGTGTGAAGGGGAAAACACACCTGGTGACAGAACATTATTACAGTGGATCCTGAGAAGACTATGAGTATTCATTCACCATTTCCTCTATATATATAAAAAAGAAACTGTCAGCCTCCTAATGCTGTTGAAGGCACTGGGTATTTAGAGAAATTTCATCCCTGTGGACCGTCATTTTAGAACCACTACGATCTCTCAAACCACACTGCTGCAGCATTTTACAGAGGTGTTGCAAGAAAGATGGCGAGGAGGAAACAGAACAAAGGAAAACAGTGATGAGGGAAGAAAAATAGATTGTTTTTGTTGTTGTTGTTGTTTTTTAATGCAGCAGTCTTGATGTATGCTTCTGTCTAATCAAGACTAATTAAAATTCCTGGTGTTCTAGCACGGAGGAACTCGATCACTGCACCTCAAGGGTAACTGAAGACGACAGAGGGTTGGATTTTCCCCGACAGGTACTCTCCAGAAATTCAGCCTCCTTTAATTTGAAATTGAATCTACTTAGCTGGACGTCACAATTTAAAGGTTAAACCTGAAAACACCAAAACATTTGATGGATTTTTGCAATTTATACATGTACATATATAGATCTCAACATAAATATTAATTCTTAATTAGGAGTAGAAAAGTAATTGTAATGTGATAAGAAGCATTTTGTCTTTGATTCCTTAGAATGTCGTTTAAATTTTACTTAATTTTTATGGAGTTCTGTATCTTTTTTTGTTGTAGGAACTACTCGCAGTCGGTCCCACTCTAGCTCTTTGTCAGAAAGTAATCTGCTGGGCAAATCTTACTCACCAAGCCTTGTGGATTTTTGTGTCACAAGGAGAATTAATGCACTTTTTGCTCAAAGGCTTTTCACTCATGTGGCACCTGCAAAGTGTTGTTAAGCATATGAGCCTCTCAAAAAGCACACACGGAGGAATAAAAACTATTCAGAGCTCATGATTATCAGCAGGGCTTTCAGATCACCTGATGGGCAACTCTCTAGACAACAAACCGCTCACTCACCTCTGCTGAAGTGTGTGATTAGCAGCAGACTAAAGAAGCTCCTAACGCCAGCGTTCATTTCCACAGTGGAGCAGATTTACTGTGAAGACAAGAAACACTTGGCATTTTTGCATCCACACATCTAAATGTGGTCTTAGAGGAGCTCACGCAGCAGGAATCACCACAGAGGTGGACTTCAAAGCCATAGGAAATGAAATTCATACTGTAAGCGCACATTTTCCTGCACATTGAGTTTAGCTGAACACAGAAAAACTGACATACAGTGTAATCTGAACATAGAGCACTGACACAGGGAAGAGATTCAACACAGATGTACTTTCGATTGGATTTTTGGAGCAGACAGGTGGCTTATTTATAATTCATAAGAAGCTTTTACATGAGAAAAGCAGAGTTATGAATAAATATAAGGAAACAAGGCCAGACTCTCAGGTACTAACCTGGAAAACATCTTGCTTACTTTTCATGTGGAAGGGAAACAGCTGCATCAGGGATGTGATTAGAACTAAAAGCCAGAAATGAGCAAATGAGGGGGAGGAAATACATTTTTTAAGGGAAGAAAAAGCAAGACTTTTGTTCCAAATATTTTACATAACAGAGAACACTCCATATGCAAGGCTACAAATGGATTAAAGGTGCCAAAAGCCTGTGTGACAGGGGCGTATAGCAGAATGAGGTCATGAGCCCTCGGCCCCTTTCTTGTGACTTCTTTCATTCTGTTTCTAACACATCAGATTCATTTAGATCCTAACTATAAACCTGTAAAGTTTGTGTCTGTGTCTTGGCTCAGTTTTAACACAGTTGTGTTGACAAAATCTTCCCACAAAGAGCCCAGCCATGCAAACACCTGCCGAAGAACTCACAGCAGCTGTCTGCAGGGGCGCTCTCTGCCACAATGACAGACGGACTCACACACAGAAACAATAATCTCGCTTGTAAACAATAATGCATTCCTGCTCTGCAAGGACTGAAGGAAAAACAACTTCGATTCAGCCAAGGAGGTTTTCCCGCCCCCACACGCTCAGGCAAATAAGCCGATGCCTCTGTTACTGATGCGGCGCGGAGATCTGAGGAGACCCCTGCCTCGCCTCCTTCACTCACCGTTGATGCTTCCTTGCTTCTCCCTTGCACCAATTCTGGATGGTTTTGCTTTGCAGCAGCGTGAGAATGCGAATCAATAACAGTGACAAAGCAGCAAGAGAGCGACAGCAAGTGAGAGGAGAGGAAATAGATCCAAATATAGAAGCCAGTGGGGCAATTATCGAGAAAGAAACAGATTTCCCTCCTACGCCGGCAGGAGGTGGGGACTGAAAGAACAGACAGTCCTGGAGAATGAACAAAAAAATTATAGCAAAAATGGAAATTATTCTGTACAAACAACACAATAAAATAACTGAAAAAAATAGAACAGCTTGCTGCCCCCTAGTGGCACTTTTAAGACACAGCAATCTACCTCAATAACATGCACATGATTTCATGTACAACCCCTTTCATTAAGGTTTAATGAAAATAATTATAAATGAAATCTGGTCATTAAAACGAGATAAATAAAACCTGAGATGAACACACAACATATTTCACAGAGTCATTATTTATTTAATAATTTAATTCAGACACACACACACATACACAGATATATACAAAGAATTTCACATGAAGGTTTTTAATTTAAATCTATATGAGTATAAGTATGAGTATAAATGTTAGGGAAGCCCATCTCTCCCTCTCCATTTCCCCGCAGATGCAGCAAAGCTCCTTCCTCAGGCATG